GAATGGCACACTTGACTCAGGCTTTTTGAGTTTTAAAATAAACAAGGAAAGTTTATTGATGAAAATACAGAAAGAAGTAGATGCTGTTTAGAATCTTGGCGGTTACAGAGAAATTCTGGTTTGTCTTGCAAGCGTAATGGTTACATGTAAATGGTTCTTTCTTTGTTACAACACAGAGATTTTCTTCTCTTTAAACCAAGTACTCTTGACAGGAACTGAATCTCTGTCAAGATACAACTGTAGCTTAGCTACCCTAAACTGAGGCCTAGCTAACTACAAAACCAGCTATCTCTCCCTGATAGCTATTCTAGTTTGCTACAGCTTCCCTTTCTGGCAAACCTAAGGCAAACTGCCTTCTTAGCTAATCTCAAACACACGAACTCCTAAACTACCTTCCTACTCTAATTGCTAACACCAACAGACTGACTGAAAAAGCCCTCTTTCTTTCCCTCCAAACCTTGCTAAACTCCGCCCCCTTTTCTGAACCAATCCTGGCTGTTCTAATGCTAACTCAGGCCTAGGACACTCCCCCTCTCTAAAATGGTGTTTTCCCTGAACTAAAATGGCTCCTGCTGCCCTCTGCCAGGCCTACTAAAGCTGCAACTAACTGGCCTGCTTCTCCTAGGCCCTGCCATCCAGGCTGGAAAGGTAAGGGATCTTTACAAGGGCCTTCTCGGTGGTGCCCCCCCCCACCTGTGGAATTCACTCCCCAGGGAAATGTGTGAATGTTGCAATTGGCCACCTTGATTAATGATAATAATGAAATTTTATTTATATACCACGCTATGTCCCCTAGGGGACTCAGAGTGGTTTCCACATATGCAAAATAATACAAGAAACATACAATGTGAAACATAAAACATAAGCATAAACTATTAACACAACATATATATATTAAAACCAATTTAAAAACCAGTTCCGCTCTATTTAGCATTTAATGGCCTTGCAGCTTCAAAGCCTGGCTCAGGAATGTAGCTGGGGGGGGGCTTCAGCCCCCTCCCCCCCGAAATTCTCATGGTGGTTCGCGAAAAGGCCTTACTGGTGCATTATTTAAACTGTTATGTTTATTCATATCATGATCTGATCACCCTACTCAATATATCCCATATGCATGGGTGTATTGGGGTAGTGATACAAAAGGTTTGCTAGGCTAGACCCTCTTTCACTCAGACTCAGCCCCCCCCCCCCCCGAAACTCAGCCCCCCCCGAAACCCCCCCTGAAAAAAATCCAGCCCCCCCCCCCCCCCCCCCCGCAACGAAATCCTGGCTACAGGCCTGGCCTGGCTGGTTGCTGCCTGGGAGAATTCTTTGTTAGGCAGTGTTAGCTGGCCCTGATTGACTCTTGTCTGGAATTCCCCTGCTTTTTTGAGTGTTGCTCTTTATTCACTGTCCTGATTTTAGAGTTTTTTAAATACAGGTAGCCAAATTTTGTTCATTTTTATGGTTTCCTCCTTTCTCTTGATATTGTCCAAATGCTTGTGTACAATATCAATGGCTTCTCTGTGTAGCCTGACATGGTCCAACATTTCTGTGTTCTCAGATAATATGCTGTGTCCAGGTTGGTTCATCAGGTGCTCTGCTATGGCTGACTTCTCTGGTTGGATTAGTCTGCAGTGTCTTTCATGTTCCTTGATTCGTGTGTTGGGCAATGCTGCTGCGTTTGGTGGTCCCTCTGTAGACTTGTCCACAGCTGCATGGTATACGGTAGACTCCTGCAGAGGTGAGAGGATCCCTCTTGTCCTTTGCTGAACGTAGCATTCGTTGGATTTTCTTAGTGAGTCTGTAAATCATTTGTATGTTGTGTTTCTTCATTGGCTTCCCTTTGCTTTTCTATATTATGATTCTCATAGCTGGGTTTCCTAAATCTTTTAGATCTCAACTCTCAGAAGCTCCACCCAGCTTATGGACAAAAATTATGTGAGGTGAAGTTCAAAATACTTATCTGGACGGCTAAGAGTTCACAGGCACTTCTCTAACCTGAATTCCAAATAAACTGGAGGATGGAAAAGTAGATTAATCTGCAAAGCAATACCGCCCTCTGGTGCTTTTATTTATCATGTCAGGCAACAGAACAGTTGTATTACATTTTTGACAGAACAAACAAACATACATACAAAAGACACAGAGTTTGCAAGCTTGGTAGTTGATTAGATGTCCTTTGACCAGTATCTGGCCATGTGGAGTGCTTCTGGTGTTACTATAAGAAGGTCCCCTATTGTGTATGTAGCAGGGCTCAGGTTGCATTGCAGCAGGTGGTCTGTAGTTTGCTCTTCTCCACATTCGCATGTCGTGGATTCCACTTTGTGGCCCCATTTCTTGAAGGTTGGCTCTGCATCTCGTGGTGCCAGAGCGCAGTCTGTTCAGCGCCTTCCAAGTCGCCCAGTCCTCTGTGTGTCCAGGGGGGAGTCTCTCATTGGGTATCAGCCATTGATTGAGGTTCTGGGTTTGAGCCTGCCACTTTTGGACTCTTGCTTGCTGAGGTGTTCCATCGAGTGTCTCTGTAGATCTTAGAAAACTATTTCTAGATTTAAGTCGTTGACGTGCTGGCTGATACCCAAACAAGGGATGAGCTGGAGATGTCTCTGCCTTGGTCCTTTCACTATTGGCTGCTACTTCCCGGCGGATGTCAGGTGGTGCAATACCAGCTAAGCAGTATAATTTCTCCAGTGGTGTAGGGCGCAGACACCCCGTGATAATGCGGCATGTCTCTTTAAGAGCCTCATCCACTGTTTTAGCGTGGTGAGATGTGTTCCATACTGGACATGCATACTCAGCAGCAGAGTAGCAAAGCGCAAGGGCAGATGTCTTCACTGTGTCTGGTTGTGATCCCCAGGTTGTGCCAGTCAGCTTTCGTATGATATTGTTTCTAGCACCCACTTTTTGCTCCCTCTGGTGCTGATTCCCTACTAGTACACCATTACTCAGGATTTATTTTTGTGTGTGTCAGGAGTGACTTGAGAAACTGCACGTTGCTTCTAGTGTGAGAGAATTGGCTGTCTGCAAGGACATTGCCCAAGGGATCCCCAAATAATTACTCAGGATAACGCTGACGATTTCACTTGCAAATTGAATAAAACAAAAGTATGAGTGGTGCACTTACAATTGTTAACATTTGTTTCATATCACAAAGGCATGTCAATTTTTAAAGGCATGTCTTTTTTAAATAGACAAAAATCTGCCAATCGGTCCGGAAAGTCTACACACATGTTTGGTCTACAAACCTAAATGTGTTTTTTTCATATTTGCTAAAAAAAATCTGTTGTGCTGTCCACCCAAACGCTATAAAAAATAAAACTGCGACGTGCTTCTCTCTATGTCTGAGCGAACTGCAGGTGTCTTTCTTGAGAAGCTTGGGATACTCAGCAACTGAGGCTATTACTGGTTTTAAACATCAAAAAAGGTTAATTGTTTATACAAAGTCCTTGCAGACTTGGCACAGTTCATCAAAGTTACAAACAATCAATTGGTAAAGCATAGAGATGAGTTTTCCCTTCCTCCAAAAAGTAAAAGGAATTCTGGAATCCCTTACCCTAACCCTGAGCTCCAATGGTCAGAAAAAAGTAGGTTTTTTTCCCTATCTATTGCTCAAAGTTAGCTTTGGGGGCAAATGCTCAATACTATCTATCAAACTCAATAGTTCTTTCTCAATAAACTCAATACTCAATACTTTCTCAATAGCTTTTCTATTAATCTATCTATAATTTCTCTATATAGCTCAATACACAATATACTATCTATATTAACTTAATATAGCTTAATATACAATATGTAATGTATAGCTTAATACTCAATATATAATGTATAGCTTAATACTCAATATATAATGTATAGCTTAATACTCAATAATGTATATTAACTTAATGTATAGTTTTTGCAATGGTTTTCCCAGAGCTACCTGCCTAACCATCAGTGCATCTGAAGTCTTTCCTCTAAACTGAAAAGGCAGGGGAGATTCCAAAATGGAGATCCCTTCCCTGGGAGAAAAGGAGGTCCCTAGACCCAAAAAGATACCTTTCTGAACCAATAGCTGCAAAGGAGGCCTGCAGACTGGCTTCGCAGACTCTGATACTATCAACTTTCAGGGCTCTTGCAAAGCTGCAGCAGCCTTGGGAGAAAATGCAAGAGGGAGCAACCTCAAGCAACTGTAAAGTAAGGCAAATCAGGCTCCTGCGAGACAGAACATCTGTTCATAAATGTACATTCCAGAGCGGATAAATCCCATAGGAATCCAAAATATTTGGGCAGGAGGGACCTGAAATAATTGATGGATCTGATCTAAAACCGTTCTACAACATTGACAGTGGCTCCACCGGGTAACATCCAACTTCCGTGACACTCAACCATGAGAAAGGGGGCTCTTGGAAATTCAGGTGAGTCTCTTTGAGTCTCTGCTAAACTCCCTCTCCTGTGGCCCTGGTTATTTCAAAGAGTAAGTGCAGGTACTTGTGGTGACTATTAGACTACTGCAACACACTCTACGTGGGGTTTCCTTTGAAGACGATTCAAAAGCTTCAAATGGTCCAATGGATGTTCTTGTAAATAAACTTCATTGTCTATTTTTCATTACATCTGACTCAAGTGTGCCTCTGTGCTTAAAGTTTCAAAAGCAGCTTTAAGCAGAAACAAGAACTAAATGGTGGCAGCATTTGTTTTAAAGAACTATATTTAAAAAGGTACCTCAGACACACAAGCCTAAGGGCTAATACCATCACGCTCTTTCATAAGTTACCTCAAATAAGCCAAGGGCCAGTGCGCTTTCAAAAAGGGGTTTTCAGCCAGGAAGAAAGTGCCAGCTTTCTATCACAGCCTTTTGTTTTGGGGGATTATTTTTATTTCCCCCGAATAAGAATCCCCCTACTCATTATATATAGCGACTCAACGGGTCAACTTCGAAAGATGAGGATAGCCTCCTTCTCCCTTAGTCCGGGAAGAAACCCAACGAGCTGATGGTGCATTCTACTTCTAGCTTGAGAGGCTATCATTAGGAGCCCCAGACTCACCAAAACAGGCGTTGCAGATCCTGGGGCAGTGCTTCTTCATGAAGGCCCTCCGGCGTGTGCAGAAACCCTGCTGAGCCCAGGGCCGGCATTGCTTCTTCTCATCGACACAACCTGCAGATTGAGATAAGAGAGATGAAAGCAGCTAGATCAAGTGCCCGTCCATCAGCCCCATGTCTATTACAGGGAAAACCAACTGATCCCTAATCCATCTAAAACACAGACATGTGCCTTTCACCTTAAGAACAGACAAGCATCCCGAGCTCTGAGGATTACCTGGGAAGGAATCCCACTGGAGCATTGCAGCACCCAAATACCTGGGAGTCACTCTGGACCGTTCTCTGACCTACAAGAAGCACTGCCTGAACATCAAGCAAAAAGTGGGTGCTAGAAACAATATCATACGAAAGCTGACTGGCACAACCTGGGGATCACAACCAGATACAGTGAAGACATCTGCCCTTGCGCTATGCTACTCTGCTGCTGAGTACGCATGCCCAGTGTGGAACACATCTCACCACGCTAAAACAGTGGATGTGGCTCTTAATGAGACATGCCGCATTATCACAGGGTGCCTGCGCCCTACACCACTGGAGAAATTACACTGCTTAGCCGGTATCACACTACCTGACATCCGCCGGGAAGTAGCAGCCAATAGTGAAAGGACCAAGGCAGAGACATCTCCAGCTCATCCCTTGTTTGGGTCTCAGCCAGCACGTCAACGACTTAAATCAAGAAATAGTTTTCTTAGATCTACAGAGACACTCGCTGGAACACCTCAGCAAGCGAGAGTTCAAAAGTGGCAGGCTCAAACCCAGCACCTCAATCCGTGGGTGATACCAGATGAGAGACTCCCCCCTAGGCGCTGAACAGACTGCGCTCTGGCACCACGAGATGCAGAGCCAACCTCAAGAAATGGGGCCACAAAGTGGAATCCACGACATGCGAGTGCGGAGAAGAGCAAACCACTGACCACCTGCTGCAATGCAACCTGAGCCCTGCCACATGCACCATGGAGGACCTTCTTGCGGCAACACCAGAGGCACTCCAAGTGGCCAGATACTGGTCAAAGGACATTTAATCAGCTACCAAGTTTGCAAAATTTGTGTGTGTTTTTTTTTATCTGTTTGTTTGTTTTGTTCTGTTAGAAATGTAATACAATGTTCTGGTTGTGGATGACACGATAAATAAATAAGCCCTATGTCTTTGCTATCTAAGGGGATAAAAGCCTGGCTTCAGAAAGGAAAGGCAGATCAGCTACCACAAGAGTGGGGAACCTTTTCTCCGTGGAGGTCCACATTTTGCTGAAGGGAATCGGTCAAAGACTACCCAATCTGGAAAACCTCTGGATAATCCTGGGCAAATCATATTCTCTCAGATTTAGAGGAAGGCAATGACTAACCACAAATGAAAATCCCATGTTAGGTTTGCTTTAGGATTGCCATCGGTCAGAAATAGCTTGGAGGCACATAACAACCCTGAGTCCTAGTTCAGCAAGCAAATCACTAGAGCCCACTGTGTTTTTGTTCTTCTTCAACTAGCAGGCAAAGACGAGTGATTGGCAATTGCTTATCTGTTAGAGGCTGGTGATGGATGAAGATGTTTATCGTTTTTTATTCAAATGTGTGTTCAGTATAATTATTTGTTTAACTGTGTTTTAATAAGTAATATTATCTGTACCTGCTTCTAATCTTATTGGGAACTAACTTGAATTATGTGAGCTATAAATCAAATAATTAAAAAAGATCACAGGAGCTGTCTTCATAGACCTGTCAGCAGCATATGAATCTGTAAATCATCACCTTCTCCTGAGAAAAAATTATAATATCACAAAGAACTTCCACCTCGCCCACTTCATAGGAAATCTGCTACAAAACAGGAGCTTTTTTGTTGAGTTCCTAGACCAGAGAAGCAAATGGCAAAAACAGAAGAACGGCCTGCCTCAGGGGTGCATGCATGCTCCATGTTAAACATTTACACAAATGATCAGCCACTGCCAGAAGGGACAGAGAGTTTCATCTATGCTGACGATTGTGTCATGACCGCCCAAGCAGGGAGCTTTGAAATGGTTGAATAGAGGCTCTCCAAAACTTTAGGTGCTCTTACTGCCTAGTACAGGGAAAACCAGCTGATCCCTAATCCATCTAAAACACAGACATGTGCTTTTCACCTTAAGAACAGACAACCATCCCAAGCTCTGAGGATCACCTGGGGAAGAATCCCACTGGAGCATTGCAGCACACCCAAATACCTGGGAGTCACTCTGGACCGTGCTCTGACCTACAAGAAGCACTGCCTGAACATCAAGCAAAAAGTGGGTTCTAATTTGGAGCTATGTGTGCAAAGTGTTGCCATAGTTTTGCAAGCTCAGATTTTTGCATGTATGCGATACAGAAGAAATAGCATTCATTTATTTCCAAAATCCAAATTTAATAGGGTTTTTTGTGTGTGTGTCAGGAGCGACCTGAGAAACTGCAAGTCGCTTCTGGTGTGAGAGAATTTGCCATCTGCAAGGACATTGCCCAGGGGACGCCCAGATGTTTGATGTTTTACCATCCTGTGGGAGGCTTCTCTTACATCCCCGGATGGGGAGCTAGAGCTGACAGATGGGAGCTCACCCCACTCCCTGGATTTGAACACTGACCTTTCAGTCAGCAGTCTTGCTGACACAAAGGAGCCATTTTTAACCCATTGTGCCACTGGGGGCTTCATTAATTTTACAGGTATGCAATTTTACAGGTATGCAGTATAGAAAAGATGATATTTAGGTCCCTTTCCAAATCTATGATATCTCCTCCTACCCACCTCCAATTTTCACAGTGGATTCTTGGCCCCAAGGCTTTTGCCCACCCCTGATTCAGACCATATATTAACTTCCTCTCTTTGGGTTAGATGCAGCTGTACCCATGGAGAAGGAGATCACAATCTACACAAGACAAAGCTCATCTCTACAACTAGGGACACTCCTATGTTGAAGCCTAATGCCTCATGGCACCAGGTGTTGTCTTGCCAGGTGTGCTACTCACCATACAGGCGCTGGATCGCCCAAACATCATCCTGGCCAATCTGCCATGTCCTGCTGTAGGTGGCATTGGGGTGCATCAGGGCTCGGACGTCCCGGGAGTGCCACAGGCCCAAAGCATGGCCAATCTCGTGAGCTGCTACCTGGACCAAGTCATTTAGCCAGACACCTGCCAAAAAGAGGAAGCAATGAACAAAAGAAGAGGAAGAGAACTAGAAAATCCTCACTGCCCATCACACAACATTCATTAGTTCTAAAGTGAAACTGGAATTGTATGCCATTGGACTACCACTCGCAGCAACCCTAACCAGCATTMCCAGAAGTGAGGAATGCTGGGAGTTACGATCCAAAAATATTCCAGAGCTTCCTAGGGCAGTGTTTCTCAACCTGGAGGTCGGGATCCCTGGGGGGGGGGGGGTTACAAGACGGGTGTCAGAGAGGTCGCCAAAGAGCACCAGAAAACACTGTATTTTCTGTTGGTCATGGGGGTTCTGTGTGGGAATTTTGGCCCCGTTCTATCGTTGGTGAGGTTCAAAATGCTCTTGGATTGTAGGTGAACTATAAATCCCAGCAACTACAACTCCCAAATGTTGAGGTCTATTTTCCCCAAACACCATCAGTACTCATATTTGGGCATACTGAGTAAACATACTAAGTTTGTTCCAGATCCATAATAGTTTGAGTCCACAGTGCTCTCTGGATGTAGGTGAACTACAAATCCAAAAATCAAGGTTGATGCCCACCAAACCCTTCCAGTATTTTCTGTTGGTCATGGAAGTTCTATGTGCCAAGTTTGGTTCAACCCCATTGTTGGTGGAGCTCAGAATGCTCTTGGATTGTAGGTAAACTATAAATCCCAGGAACTACAATTCTCACATGACAAAATCAATTAACACCCCCCCCCCAACCCCACCAGTATTCAAATTTGGGCGCATCGGGTATTTGTGCCAAATTTGGTGCAGTGAACGAAAATACACACTGCACATCAGATATTTACATTATGATTCATAACAGTAGCAAAATTACAGTTATGAAGTAGCAACAAAATAATTTTTTGGTTGGGGGTCACCACAACATGAGGAACTGCATTAAGGGGTCACAGCATTAGGAGGGTTGAGAACCACTTCCCTAGGGGGTTCTAGAAATCAGAAAACCATTTCGAACACATCAAGAAGAGCAGAGAACAAATCGGAGGAATGTGTAGCATGGGCCTTCCTGCTTGTCCTGTATGTCATCATGGCACATTCTTATGGCAAACAGGTAGTGTCATCCACAGGCCATAATGGCAATGGGTGCTTATCCACCTCCCTTTCTTATAGTAGGCTAAATGAATAAGCACTGTCAAGGAAGCGGCACCTTGCTTCCAGCTGAAGCGGGAGCGTCCAAATATCCAAAATTCATGGTTATCAAAGTGGATCTCACCACGGGGAGGGAGGAAGGCATGAGCCAGCTCCCCGTTGAGCCCATCAAAGCAAGGATGCAGGGGAGAGAACCAGCAGTCGGTGTGGTTAAAGGTGTAGAAACCTGCCAAAATCAGAAAGAAGACAAGAGAGGGCTTTAGTATTGCTAGTAATGGCTTCCATCAGCAGTATGCAACGTTTCTCCAATCTGGCTTAACAATTCTATTAAGCAGAGAGGAGAGGTAAGGTCATTCAATGAATCACAGGTGTGTATGTATGTGTGACATCAAACCAATTGTTCCACAGTTTGCTCTCAGCTCACCTGTAGAGAAGATAGAGAAAAACCAGAAAATCTACAAAATTGACAAGCTAGATGTTGGTGCTCATCTCTATTTCTAAGTCGAAGAGCCGGCATTGTCCGTAGGCACCTCCAAGGTCATGTGGCCAGCATGGCTGCATGGTGTGCCGTTATCTTCTCACCGGTCTATTTTCCCCAAATTCCACCACTGTTCACATTTGGGCATACTGAGTATTCGTGCCAAGTTTGGCCCACATTTATCATTGTTTGAGTCCACACTGCTCTCTGGATGTAGGTGAACTACAACTCCAAAATTCAAGGTCAATGCCCACCAAACCCTTCCAGTATGTTCTGATGGTCATGTGAGTTTTGTGTGCCCAGTTTGGTTCAATTCCATTGTTGTTGGAGTTTGGAATTCTCTTTGATTGTAGGTGCACTATAAATCCCAGCAACTACAATACCCAAATGATAAAATCATTGCCTCCCCACTCCCAACCCCACCAGTATTCAAATATGGGCGTATTGGGTATTTGTGCCAAATTTGGTCCAGTGAGTGAAAATACATTCTGAATATCAGATATTACATGACAATTCTTAACAGTAGCAAAATTACAGTTAGGAAGTAGCAACAAAAAATCATGTTGTGGTTGGGGGTCACCAGAACATGAGGAACTCTATTACAACATGAAGGACTATATTACGTTTTTATGACACTCTACATCAGGCATGGGCAAACTTGAGCCCTCCAGGTGTTTTAGACTTGGCTGTTAGGAATTGTGGAAATTAAAGTCCAAATTACCTGGAGGGCCAAAGTTTGCCCATGCCTGCTCTACATTATGGAATTTTGGGCTTTCTACTTTTGTGAGACATTTTGAATTTTCAGCCAGAGAGCTCCAGTATCTCCATAAACTATGAAACTCATGATTCCACATGAGGTCATATCGTTGTGCAGTGTGGAAGAGCCAGAAAGGCAGAATGTAGTGAATCTTACCTAGTAGGCCAAATAGGAAGCCTGGATAACAGTATGGCAAACCTCCACTTTGAGAGTGTATGCCAGGGAAACAGCCATCTTGAGTGAGGATAGCTAGAAGATGGGAAGAGTTTGAGGTCTCCTGGGATTGGCTAGAGCAGATGGGAGGAGCCAAGTCTTAGGAGGGAAAAGATTTCAGCTTCTGTGGAAGTTGAGAACTGGGAGCTGGTGGGAGTTGAAAACTAGGTTTTCAGGGAGAGAGTATCTGTAAGACAGGGGCTGATTAGCTGACAGGAGAAAAGTCAGATAACAGCCTGATTTCTTGTGGGAGATAGCACAAGAGATTACCTCTCTAGACTGAGTTACTTAGCAGGAAGAACTCTGGGAAGAGTTAGCTGATAATTCAGGGGACTACCTAGGATAGGTTAGTCAGAAAGTCATTACTATTTCTCTGAAGAAGAGTGAGGGAGTTTTGTTACTAGGAGCTAGTTCTGTTTGATTAGCTCTGACTGTAACTAAGTGAAGAAACTCATACTAGCAACCACCAAGCTGTGGAACTTTTGTAACAAGTTAAGCTGTTCTGTCGCGTGCTGGGCCTGTAACAGCTGTCTTTTCTATAGGACGTATACTTTAAGCCCAGCGGGAAGCCAGGGGCCTCAAAGAGAGGTTCTCAGGGATTTTTCTGAAGTGATGGTCTTTAGAGTCTTTAATGATACAACAAAGTCTTTATTATGGAACAAACAACAAATCTTCAATGGTTCAAACAACACTTCAAGGCTTTCTTAATGGACTGGTACCCGACTTTGATTAACTGTACTTTCTCTGTAAGAAAACCCTTTTTAACCTCTCCTAGGCTGACTATTATCTATGCCTCATCGGTGTGGGACCTACTACTGATTCCAAATGTGTTTGGGTATCGAGTAGACCTACCAGCCGAGGCTTATAGATATTTCAGCTGGAGTTCCGTGGATCTGTAATGCTGTTCTCCCTTTGAGAAATCTTTGAAACTTCAGGGCTGTTTTCCCTCTGATTGCTGTGAGGCTGAGGGGCTGTGAGCTCTCAGCCAGAGCTTTTGGGACCTTTCTCCTGAAATTTCTGTTTCTGTATCCCCGGATGTAATTGAGAAAGGAAGCTTTTCTACGGGACAAACTGGTCTACGTCCTATAGCTTAGCTACCTTGTGTGAGACTGCCCAAAAAATGGCTCCTTTCCCTCCCAGAGCCCAGAACAAGGGGCGGAACCAAAGCTTAATTATGATGGACAGGAGCCCTGCCCTATGATTGCAAACTTTAACAGAAAGAAAATAAAGTTGGAGCTCCTGGTACAGCTGTAACAGCACATAAGCGTTTTGTGCCTCTCAGAAGTAGTTAATTGTCTGTTTTTATAAATAAATCTTTTTTCTATTTAACTTTCAAAAGTTCTCTTTCGTTCCTCAATCTATCAGTAATCCTTTGTGATAATTCCAGCATCTTTAACATAATGATATTACAGAAAGGCCTCTTATCCAAACAGTCATTCTGGGAACTTGGGGAAGAGCAATATTGGCAGAAGTGGGAAAGGTTTACCTCAAAAACTCATTTTAAAAATCCTAAGGCAACTTGGGTTGGTGGCAGTTTTAAACCAAAAGAAGACTAAAAGACAAGCAGTGTTCATTCTACCATTACACATATCTATTTACATCTCGCTACCAAATTGGAGGCACAGGGGTAGGATTTTTGAGGAGAAGGTGAATTTTTGGGGAAAGAATCATCCTACCCAGACATATTATCCATAAGCCTCCAGCCTCACGTCACTGGTTGTGATATTTTCCTTCTTACTGGGGTCCAGTGGTGTGATATTACTTATAATCCTTTATAGTGGTGTCCAGCGGTGTGATATTTGGTGATATATAATATAGGGATCAACTTATAAATGTTACCCTTCAGCTCAGGTATCTAGATTCACCATAAAAGCTCTGAGGAAATCTTTGAATCCATCAGTGTTAGATGGAATCGAGTCACATAGCAGTTTCCCTGAAATGAAATCTGGTAACTTCGAATCACAGTGGAAAATATGCAGTTGGAAGAGACCGCAAGATCCATCCAATCCAAACCCTTGCCATCGAGAAATATACAATTAAAGCCCTCTATTTAATTGCCAACTCCACCTTCAGAAACCCAAGACACTTCTGAGTCACAGCCACACGGCAATTCCTGGGTTTTAATAGAAACCATCCCAACCATTTTCTCTCCCTGTCAAATCTCCTGCCTCTCTCTTTCCATGTGTCTTGCATTCCCTCTTCCGCCTTCTTCATCTTTGTCGGACTTCTTTGAATTCTTTCCAGCCAGACCAGATGGAATAAATCTGCCAGCGAAAGACCTTTCTTGGCTTCTTGGGATTGTGTTAGAAGTTCAAGTTCTTTTGAATCAGACAGTAATAAAGCAAACATTGGGCTACAGAGCAAGAGGACCAGCACTTCTATTGCCCTTCTGGTTCTCACAGGAGTCACTTCTGATTATTTCAGGCCCTTTGGTGTCTTGACATCAGAAACAACAACAAAAAAAGAGCTTTGATAAATTCCTTTCATGGGTTATAACTTTTCCGTTTCCTAGCTTGGGCCAGAGGCTTAGCACAACTGGTAAATCATCAGCAATTATAAGATCTATCAACCAAAAGGTTGCAAGTTCGAAGCCCCCGGTTGACATGAGCAGCCAACTGTCAGCCTAGCTCACTGTTTACCTAAGCAATTCGAAAACAGCTTTAGCTGTGATTAGAGAAATTAGGTACCGCTAAATGCAGGAGAGGTGAAAAGAAGATCAGAAAATGTTGTTCGACCATAGAGGATAGTGCAACTGCACCCCCTGGACTCGAGCCCAACCTTCCATGGCACCCAAAACAGCTGGACACTGAGTCAAAACAAATCACCTCCTTCTGTTCTGTCTGTCTGTATATTGTCTATACAAAGCGGCATTGAATGTTTGCTATGTATGTGTACTGTGATCTGTCCTGACTCCCCTTCGGGGTGAAAAGGGTGGAATATAAACAAAGTGTTGTTGTTGTTGTTGTTGTTGGGACTATAGGAGGTTCTAGATCTCTTTCATTCCACTGCAATTTTAACACTGCCCCAGCTTCTGCCAACCTAGCAGTTCGAAAACATGCAAATGTGAGTAGATCAATAGGTACTGCTTCAGCAGGAAGGTAATGGCGCTCCATGAAATCATGCTGGCCACATGACCTTGGAGGTATCTATGGACAATGCTGTCTCTTTAGCTGAGAAATGGAGATGAGCACCAACCCACAGAGTCAGGCATGACTGGACTTAATATCAGGGGAAACCTTTACCTTTACATTTACTTTACTTTAACTTTCATAATTGCAGCCTGTGGAATCCTGCAATTTGTACTTTGGTAAGGCACTAAAGCTCTCTAGTAGACCATATAAATTAAGTAACCTTATGAAGCTATAACTCCCAGCTTGGAGAGAAAGGTGGAGTACAAATAACGTTAACAAGAATAGTAACTTTTTCAAGCTCGAAGTGGGACTTCCCAGGCTTCTTCTCTTATTTATTATACTACTTCTTGATCTGAGAATCAGAGAATTGCAGTGCTATAATTGTGGGCCTTGGACTCTGGAGCTTGCTTTATGGAAGGACACCTGCAAAACTGTCCAGGCTGGCTCCATATCCAAATAGTAATTCCAAACTTAACGTGTGCAACCTATAAAATGAATCACCAAGACAGGCCTGTCTTTTTCTTTTAATCATTATTTTAATTTTATTATTTATTTACCCTATTTATACCCCCCCCCCCTTTCTCTACCCTGAAGGGGACTCAAGGCAGCTTACATACAGGCAATTATTCAAAGCCTGAAAACAATATAGAATTCTAATAACATTTAAATTAAATTTAAAATTACACTTAAAATTAATACATATTAAACATTTAAAAACATTACATTCAGTATAAAACAATGCAATCCATAGTCCTAGTCCAGGGCCGTTTCTATATATATATAGAAAGGGCCTTTTCAGTGGTGGCCCCTCGACTCTGGAACTCACTCCCTAAGGACATCACGCAGGCCCCAACCCTGGCAGTCTTTAGGAGGAGTTTAAAGACGTCGTTGTTCCAGCGTGCCTTCCCAGAATAATGTTCCCATAGCACTTTGTCCTCCAAAGCACTTTACATTTTAGGTCTGCTTGTATGTTTTCCACAAACGCCACTTTCACCTTTTCGCCCATGCCCTGGCATTACTTCCAATTTTAACTTTACATTTGGCCTACCCACAGTTTTAATTGTGTGTTGTCTTATTGTTAATTGTTGCATTTTTTATTGGCCATGTTTTTATTTTAATTGCTTGTATTGTTGTTATTATTGCTTGTATTGCTTGTATTGTTGTATTTTGGCTCGGCCTCATGTAAGCCGCACCGAGTTCCTTGGGGAGATGGTAGCGGGGTACAAATAAAGTGTTATACACACACACGCACACACACACGCACGCACACACACACATATACACACACATACATAATATGTAAGTACATAGATACACACACAAGCACACACATGTTCTTTGCTTGCTTCCCTCTCCCCCAACAGCTCTGCCAGGATCTGTGGCTTTCAAGAGACCTACCTATAGTGATGTCTGCCTGTTGGGTGGGTGCCAAGCGCCGGAAACTGAGCGGTGAAACATCACTCCACATGCGGAAAGCGCTGGCAATGGCACGTTCGGTGTCACCCTTGTTGAGAGTGTTGGGAAACTGTACAATCCTGCAGTCAAAAGAGGAGAATACAGAGAGTAAGTCAATAGACCAGACAAGCAGGTTCTAGGTGTTAATGATTTTCAGCGCTAATTCTCTGTGAAACTAGACATTTAGGACTGCAGTTCCAAGAGTTATCTTGGTTGTATATTGTCTCTGTCATTGTGGGTCACCTCGGTCATGGAACCATATTCTTGGGATAGCCCACAGCTCCAGAGATATCACTGGGACTGTTGTCACCTACTATAGTAACTCATGGAGCATGACCAGGGGCGGCTCAACCCATTACGCAAAGTAAGCGTTTGCAGTATAGTTGATTTTGCCCAAGGGTGCTCTTGAGGTGCTCTTGGGGGAAAATAGACCTTGACATATGCGAGTTGTAGTTACTGGGATGTATAGTTCACCTGCAATCAAAGAGCATTCTGAACTCAACCAATGATGGAATTGAACTAAATATGGCACACAGAACTCCCACGCCGAACAGAAAATATATATCGGTGATTGGTTGGGGGGGATACTGTTTGCTTACCGTTGAAAATTACCTAGGGCCACCTCTGAGCATGACAGCTCCGACCGGGCTGTAGCACAGCTAGTTAGTAGCCAGCTGCATTAAATCACTATTGACCGAAACGTCATGAGTTCGAAACAAGCCCAGGTCAGAGTGAGCTCCCAACCATTAATAGTCTAGCTTGTTGTTGACCTAGCAGCCCCAATAGGCAGTTGCATCTGTCAAATAGGAAAATTAGCTACCACCTTATGTGAGGAGGCTAATTTAACTAATTTATGATGCCATAAAACCTTCCAGCAATGTGCAGAAGAATGAGGAAGTACTCCAGCAAGGACTCGGTGTCACAAATGGACAGTGAAGCAGCAACTCCCCCTGTGGCTGGAATTGAGCATATCCCGACAAAGCCAGAAAAACTGGGATGTTAAATTGCCTCTGAGTCTTTCTATAGATGTTGTATGTCTGATGGCATTGTATATTTGCCATGTATATGTGCATTGTGATCCACCCTGAGTCCCCTGCGGGGTGAGAAGGGAGGAATATAAATACTGCAAATAAATAAATAAATAAATAAGAAGGTATGAAAAGTAAATCAGCATAGCATTTTAGATGCATAGTTGTATTGACAAAAAGAGAGTGTAAGATAGGCTTGTGGAAAACATTTTAAGTGCAGAGATTTTTAGGAAAAAAAATCTGATAAAACACTGCACAAACATTTTATGGAGATGTCAAATTGGTATCTTCTGCTCTGACGGACCTATCCAGTGAAGTTTACACACCCTCCCAGTGATGCCCCTGGGAAGTTACAATCCACACGTATGTACACTTACTTGTAGGTCAGGTTCACATGGTCCCACTTGTAGCCTAGAGGGTTGATGGCGTAGCGCCTCCTCCTGGCCAGGCCTTTGTTGGATGGCCAAGCATCAGAGGGCGCTCCAATGGACTGGGCTGGTGCTTCTGCCTAGAAGGAAGCAATGAGGACATCTAGGATGGAGAGCCAAGCAGCACGGTTTCTTTGGCCCATCCCACGTTCCAAGTCCCCTTGTAATCAAAGCCGCCTTTCTTCTCTCTCCCTAAACTTCAACGTGCTGTTTTTACTGGCTGGCAGCCACACGGGGAAATTATTCAGCCACAATTTGGGATTCTCCAGAAAGTGATGCAGGCTCCAAATTCAGCAAACGGGATCGAGTTCTGCTCTCAAGGAAAGTTTGTTAAAAGCAGGGTGGATGAGGGGAAACGAGCTTCCTCCCATTGCTCAGAGCTCAGAAAGTCTCATTTTATTTGGAATCCAATTCCCAGAATCCCCCAACAATCACAAAGTAACTTTTCTCAGCTCTGCCTTTGATGACAACTCTTTGGAATCCCTTCCAAGCTTTCTGTAAGCACACTGATGTTCCTCGTCCCTTGGAGTGATGTTTGCATTTCTGAGAAAATTTCAAAACTATGAAGGAGAARCTGTCCCTACTGTCTTCCTCACTCTTTTCAGTTACCTTCCATAATAATAATAATAATAATAATAATAATAATAATAATAATAACAACAACAACAACAACAACAACAACAACATCCTCAGCTCCTGCATGAAGATAACGCAGACAGACTATAAGCAGAGGCACAACACCATTGYTCAGATGATTAATTGGAACTTGTGCCACAAATACCATCTGCCTATGACAAAGAACTGGTGGGATCACCAGCCGGAAAAAGTTACAGAAAATGAACACCCCAAACTCCTCTGGGACTTCYGGATTCAGACAGACAGAGTTCTGGAGCATAATACTCCTGACCTCACAATCGTGTTATAAAACAAAGTATGGATTGCCGATGTTGCAATCCCAGGTGACAGCAGGATTGCAGAGAAACAACCAGAAAAGCTGACACAATATGAGGATTTAAAGATCGAACTGCAAAGACTCTGGCACAAGACAGTCAAGGTGGTCCCAGTGGTGATTGGCACACTGGGTGCAGTGCCTCAAGACCTTGGCCTGCACTTAAACACAATTGGCGCTGACAAGATTGCCATCTGCCAGCTGCAGAAGGCCACCTTACTGAGATCTGGATGCATTATTCGCCGATACATCACACAATCCTAGACACTTGGGAAGTGTCCGACGTGTGATCCAATTCAACAGCCAGCAGAGTGTCTGCTGTGGACTCATCTTGTTGTGTTTCAAATAATAATAACAACTTTATTCTTATACCCCGCCACCATCTCCCTGAAGGGACTTGGGGTGGCTTACAAGAGAACAAGACCACATTATAGATAAAACAGCATTAAAAACAATCAAATAAAACATAGGTAAAGGTAAAGGTAGTCCTTTCATGATCCTCTCTGATCTTGAGTCCAGTCATGTCTGACTCTGGGGTGTGGTGCTCATCTCCATTTCTAAGCCGAAGAGCCAGCGTTGTCCATAGACACCTCCAAGGTCATGTGGCCGGCATGACTGCATGGAGCGCCGTTACCTTCCCGCCGGAGCGGTACCTATTGATCTACTCACATTTGCATGTTTTCGAACTGCTAGGTTGGCAGAAGCTAGGGCTGACAGCGGAAGCTCATGCTGCTCCCCAGAATCGATCAACAAGCTCAGCAGCTCAGTGCTTTAACCCACTATGCCACCATACACGCAATCAAAACAACATCTTAAGACAATAGGCTGGGATAACAGTCAAACTGGGATCAGGCTCACATTAGTGCAGTGCTTCTAGATTAGGGGCCAGTGGAAAGTGCAGATTAAGGGAACTGAGGTTAGGGATGACATTAAAGTGTCAGGTAATCTGCTGCTCCCACTCCTCAGGCATAAGCCCACCACCACCAATTCCTTACAGTGGTTCTCAACCTGGGGTCCCCAGATGTTTTTAGCCTACAACTCCCAGAAATCCCAGCCAATTTACCAGCTGTTAGGATTTCTGGGGACCCCAGGTTGAGAACCACTGCCTTACAGGAAAGCAAAGTGTTCACTCACCTTTGGGTTGGTGTATTGCAGACTCCAGAGAACTGTAGACAGGAGAAAGAAGAGGGCAATGCCTCCAGCCACCGGCCCCCAGCTCCCACTAAACCTTTTGGAGGAGAGAAAGGGCCCTGGCCTCATGGCTAGTACTGGATGAGTCCTTTCTCCAGGGACCAGACGTCCTCCCAGCTGCTCCTTCTGCAAGTGCTGTATGTCTCCAAGGTTCCCCCAACCCTGAGCCTTTTGCTTCCCCATAAGATCAGAGAGGATCATGAAAGGAGCTGGGTTGTGCAGCAACAGGGCTGCCGTCCCCTCCACCTTCTCTGTAGTGCTCCCAGATTGGATCCATCTGTCCAAAGTATACAGGAACTAAAAGCAGGCTTCTGCCGCCAAATCAGGCTTCCAGATGCAGACCCCATCTCCTCCCTGCCATCCCAAGGATCACCGGCTTCCCGGTTCCAAAGTGCCTGAAATGCAAGGAGAGCATCCCTTGCTTTTTGGACCTTTCGTGCCACCACCAGAGGAAAGAGGCAGGCAAAGTTTACCAAGGGAAGGAGAAGACAGAAAATAAATGCGCTCTGAGTAGAAACGTCAGTGCCTCACTGTTTGCAATGCTAGAAATTTTGGGAACAGAAGCAAAATTTTACCGGGGATGTTTAAACAGCCTAGCTTACTTAATATTTTTTAAAGACTTGGTTTTAAAGGTTTTTAGCAGTCTCAGCACAAGGTTTTCATGCTAAAAGACATTCAAGGGGATGTTAACGAGGCTTCTGCAATTTGGCTGAATCTCGATCCATTTCTACTGGCTGCATTCCAATAGACCCCTGTATCCATTTTCACGCACCACCCAAAAACGGGTTCAATCCTTTCCCTTTGGTCTGTAGAGGAGACCTGGGTTTAAAGACAGGACTTAACACTTTTTCTGTAATGCTTTCTTGTCGGTCTGTAGGAGAGACCTAGGTTTAAAGAAAGGGCTTAAGATACCACTCTTTCTGCGATCCTTTCCCTTTGGTCTGTAGAGGAGACCTGGGTTTAAAGAAAGAGCTTAAAATACCACTCTTTCTGAGATCCTTTCCCTTTGGCCTGTAGAGGAGACCTGCGTTTTTAAAAGGGGCTTAAGATGCCACTCTTCCTGCAACTCTTTCCCTTCGTTCTGTAGACAAAGGAGACCAGTTTAATGCTTCATTAAAGCTGTTTCTACTCTAGAAGAGACAGGTGCTGCAGACGGGCACTTACTCTCTCCCTGCAGCACGCAACTTTGGCATTTCAAGGAGGTTTCCCACTTCCCAGGGAAGGAAGAGTGATCGTCCTGGAGCTATCCTACCCAGGGCTTCCATTAAAAAGCCCTCTCTTTGCCCTGCCTTGAGTGGTGCCTTTTTTCCCTGACACTTCTCCTTTTAGCAGCTGCCTCCCTCCTGTACTCCACCTGTAATCAAAGTAGCCATTATTCGACAGCTGCTGTTCTGTTGGAACTGAAACGAATATGGTGGCTGGCCCCTTGCTGTTACGGCCAGCTGGGCAAACCAAACAAGCCGGATTGGCCAAAGGAAACTGACCAAACAAGCCTAATGTTTACCGTTCCTCTTCCTGCACCATCTTAAGTTTTAGTTATGGTGCCAGTTCTGCTGCCTCTGAGAGTTCCTTGCCAGTGTCATCTTATTCCTGCCCTGTAGTTGTTTGGCATGTTTAGTGTGGCTCCTTGGTCTGACATGGGAAACCCTACCAAAAGCACCGCTACTCTTAGCATGGCCCTTTGCCTTACAGAAGCACACAATCCTACCATCACAGAAAGGTAATGCTATGACAGTTCTGCTGCCTTCTCCCAGCCTCAAATTTGTCTGTCCCCAACCAATCCCAGTCATTCAAGATAACCTAATCCATTGGTGAAAACCATCTTTATCATCCAAGATTGCAATTAACTAGTGTAGCCCATGGTGGGAGTGACTGGATTTGCAATACAGGAAGACCTGAAGTCCTGCCTGATTACCATCCCTGGTCCAACCTGAAATACACCTCAATGGTCAATGGAACTTGCAACAAACAATGACTAAGATCATATACTGAGGAGAAACACAACTCTATGCTCAGGAGAGTTCATGCTAATCACACAGTGCTAGTTCATGAGGAGCTTCTGACTTAGTCTGACCTGATGCATATGCACAACAAGTGCAACATACATCCCTGCAAAATATGACAAAATGCACAATGGTACCACATGAGCAACAAATAATTTGACATAACATGGCTGTTCTTCTTTGGACAAAAAAAAGTCAAGCCCTTCTGTCAGCAAAGTGACATCTGTGTAAGATATCAAGATTCCAGCCAATGTTGACTCCTGTGGATCCACTCTGTTTATCCTAACTGGGCTCCAGGCCTTGTCCTGTGGCCAATGGCCATGGTCCTGCTGCTACATCTAGCTTCACCTTTTGCTTCTTCAGCTTTACTTGTAGTTAAATCCTTCAGAAGATTTATTGTCAAATACTTTAATGGCTGGAATCACTGGGTTTTTTTGGGCTATATGGCCATGTTCTAGAGGCATTCTCTCCTGATGTTTCACCTGCATCTATGGCAAGCATCCTCAGAGGTTGTGAGGCCTGTTGGAACTAGGAAAATTGGAACTAGGAAAATCAGCACACAGATATATAAACCCAATATTCCTAGCTCCAAGAGACCTCACAACCTCTGAGGATGCTTGCCATAGATGCAGGCAAAACGTCAGGAGAGAATGCCTCTAGAACATGGCCATATAGCCCAAAAAACCTACAACAACCCAGCTTCAGAAGATACTGAGAATGTATCCACACTGGAGCATTATAGCACTTGGGTTCCACTTGAAACTTTGGGATTTCTAATTTGATGCTAAGTACCTGGCCAAACCACAAATCCCACGATTCCACAGGACGGAGCGCCAACAGTTGTAGTAGTATGAAACTGAAGTAATTATGTTGTGCAGACAACCTGTGACCAGGTCAGTAAGGGCATTCATAGTTCCGGTGCTATATCAACCCCTGGAAGTACTTCTCTTACTAATAGAATTGCAATTCCAGACATAATTCTGGCATTAAATTGGAGAGAATTGCCTGCAAAAGAGTTAAATGTAGGAACATCTTAGCTAGGAAGAATGTGGGTCCCCAAGTCTTTTGGCCTACAACACCCTGAAATTCCATCCAGTTTACCAGCTGTTAGGATTTCTGGGAGTTGAAGGCCAAAACATCTGAGGACCCACAGGCTGAGAACCACTGGTGCAGTAGGAAGACATGGCAGAGGTACAAAATCGACACAGAAGGAGGTGCTGTTCAGCCTGAAGGAGGTGCTGTTCTCCCACAAAATTCAACTCTTTGAAAGGAAGAAAAATTCTACTAGGGAGCATACAATTTGCAATTGAGTTATTCTGGTTCAATATTACGTTTCAGTCATGTCTGGGAATGACTTATGGCCAAACCCTGAAGAGCAATTTCCAATGTTCAAGAAGGTCACTAGTGTGTCTCAGTAGAAGGTGGCACCTCCTTTGTCTTAGACCACACCTGGAATATTGTGTCCAATTCTGGGCACCACAATTCAAGAGAGATATTAACAAGCTGGAATGTGTCCAGAGGAGGGCGACTAAAATGATCAAGGGTCTGGAGAACAAGCCCTATGAGGAGCTGCTTAAGGAGCTGGGCATGTTTAGCCTGAAGAAAAGGAGGCTGAGAGGAGATATGATAGCCATGTATAAATATGTGAGAGGAAGCCACAGGGAGGAGGAGGGAGCAAGCTTGTTTTCTGCTTCCTGGAGACTAGGACGCAGGAACAATGGCTTCAAACTACAAGAGAGGAGATTCCATCTGAACATGAGGAAGAACTTCCTGACTGTGAGAGCCGTTCAGCAGTGGAACTCTCTGCCCCGGAGTGTGGTGGAGGCTCCTTCTTTGGAAGCTTTTAAACAGAGGCTGGATGGCCATCTGTCAGGGGTGATTTGAATGCAATATTCCTGCTTCTTGGCAGAATGGGGTTGGACTGGATGGCCCATGAGGTCTCTTCCAACTCTTTGATTCTATGATTCTATGATTCATCACTAACTTTTCCACTTTCTTTGTGTGTGCTTGTTACTTTCAATTCATCTGTCAACATATGGCAACCCCATGGTTTTCTTAGGTAAGAAATACTCAGAGATTGTTTTGCCAGTTCCACTCTCTGAACTGTTTTGCCAGTTCCACTCGCTTCGCAAACGCGGCTGGTGGGGACGAGGGACAGGGCCTTCTCGGTGGTGACCCCCCCCCCCCACATGTGCAATTCGCACCCCAGTGAAATTAGATCGCCGTCCTCCCTCCCTCCTTTCTTTCAGAAGAAAACTAAAGACGTGGTTGTGGAACCAGGCTTTTGGCTAATGGATATAATGACACCTGAACAGTGAATTGGACCATATGGTTGTTATAATGGAAATGCCTTTATGATTGGATAACTACTGTTGTTGTAATGTATTATATTGTATGATTTTATTTTGCTTTTATGATTGTAATTATTGCGGCATCCAATCATTGCCATTGTTAGTTGCTCTGAGTCCCCCTGCGGGGGTGAGAAGAGTGGGGTAGAAATGCTGTAATTTTATTTTATGTATTTTTGTTGTGTCAGGAGTCGCTCCTGTTGTGAGAGAATTGGCCGTCTGCAAGGACGTTGCCCAGGGGACGCCCGGATGATTTTTGATGTTTTTATCATCCTTGTGGGAAGCTTCTCTCATGTCCCCGCATGAGAAGCTGGAGCTGATAGAGGAAGCTCATCTGCTTCTCCCCGGATTCGAACCTGTGACCTGTCGGTCTTCAATTCTGCCGGCACAGGACTTTAACCTACTGCGCCACCGGGGGCTCCTAATGCTGTAAATAAAATAAGTAAATAAAATAAATAAATGCATCCTATAGTCCTTAGCATTTTTGACAGTCTCTCATTCGAGTACTAACCAGGGCTAACCCTGCTTATCTTCCAAAATCAGACTGTAGCTGGTGCCCTTTTTTCTATGTTCAAATCCTGTATAGTGAGGATGAGCAGCTTGAGATTTTCCATATGTTGTTGAGCTGCCAAATCTGTCATCACTCACTGATGATTGGGGATGATGGAATTTGCAGTCCAACCACCACTAGAAGGTGGAGCAAATTTTCTACTGCTATGCAACCTGTTGATCTTAGCACACAGCTAGAAAGTGCTGTTGGAGATCAGTTTACCATTTGCTATGCTGAGCTTGGAAACTCCTTGCTCCCATAAAAGAAAAAAGCACCTGAGCCAGAGTCAACACCATATAACAAGCCCCGACTTGTACTATGCTGGCTGATACACATTACCGCTTGCTCCTTCTTTACTCGCAGACTTGGCAGAAAACTGCTATCTCAGGAAGACTAGGATCTGCCAATTCCCTGAGCTGATTTCCCTTCACTCACCTTCTCCTTTGATTGATGCTATGACTCAGGATGAGAGTTCCTGAGGAGGGATTGGGCACCAAACTTTAAACTGTAAATGATTTTTATTTTTTCCATATTCCATATTGTA